CAATACGTTTTCTGCAAAGGCCCATACCACCCGCTGTATATTTCCCTAATACTCTCCATCACCCTTCAGGTTCCCAAATGTCACTCTCATACTTATGAAAATATTCTCACCACTTCTGCTAATAAATACGTTGGCAGCGTGTGGGGAAGAACACTCAGATTTGTAGCTCTGAAATTACACTTCAGAATTCAAGCAGGCTTCTCTTTTTCTGGTTGCTAAATTTCTTAATAGTCCTTGTACGCAGCTGAAAGCAGTTTATTGTGTCCACAGGTGACACCTGGACAGAGACCCTGGCCTACGTGGTTTTCTGGGGAAGCGCAAGCTTTGGAACTCTTGCTATCATCCTTTACAACGGCAAGGATTTTGTAGATGCACCCAGGCTGGTTCAGAAGGAGAAGATGGACTGAATTTGTGTGTGTGGAAAACAGCTTGGTAGGGATGGCTCCTCAACCAGTACCTGGAGCCTCTACTGACCTGCTTTCCACACAAGCTCGTGGTCTTTTTTTCCTTTTAGCTTTCATCTTTGCAGGGTGAAAAACTGAATCGAACTCGTTACTTGGTGGAGGGGATTCGCCGTTTTGATTCTATAGTCACAATGATCTTAGGAGTATTGCATTTACTGGAGAGCTTGCACACATAACCCTTAGGAGGATTAAGAGATGAAAGCCAGTTTGCACCGTGGTCCCACAGGGTGTTAACTGGATTCACAAAAAGGGTGTGCCAAGCGCTTCGCAACCCATGAATGTAGTATTGTAAAATCTTTTGAGATGTCTCAGCCTTTTTAAAAAAAAGACGCTGTTCGCCTGACGTTACTTAGCGATCTAGCCACTACTAGGGTACAACCAGGTTACAATATCTGATACTAGTAAAAAGCCTTGCTTATTAACAATATCAACAACTGCTGCTTAATTAAACTTCTGTTGAGTGCCCTTGTAGCCAGGAGAAAAGTCAATGTATCAAGAGCAGGGTTGTATGTATTTGTGTGTGTCTCCCCCCCCAATATATTTTTCTCCTCGTGCTCCCTTATCTAAAGGCAAGTCTCTCCTGCCATTTCTGGGACTGCTGATGCAATATTCTGTTTAAATCATTGTCAGGAGGATTGACTCTGTTTGGAACATGTCCTGTGCTGCTTTAATAACTACAGTCCTTAGAAGACTTAGATGACAAACTTCAGTGTGATTAAAGATTGTTTTGTCTCTTAAGAAGATGTAAATGGAATCAAAGAATGTAAAGCTACTTATCTGAACCCTCTTACGCTAAAGGTCCAAAGTATTTGCTTCTTTCCGAAGAGTCTCAAACGCAGAAGGTATTTCTTATTAATTTGGCAAACCACCTGCTGCTTTCTGCTGCCTTGGTTTTAGGAGGGGTAATCTGTGGAAGACAATATACATTTGATGCATTTGGGGGGAGGGGAGGGGGAGGTGAAGTTAATTCCATATTTGCACTTGGGATCAACATCAGCTTGCTTTTTGTGCATGCCGTAATTATATTTCTCTACAATTGTAACTTTCTCTGGAAACTACTAAGCTCTAAGAATAGCCTTGTGCTGGTTATCAATAAATGTGTGTCTCAACTTTAGTGCTTCCAAGCTTTATATTAAAAACTAGATGATCTAAATCCAAGGACCAATTTTAAACTACTTTGTCAACCATTTTCTAATTACTTGCGTTCAGAACCAGACACGGATCAGCTTCAGGTACTGTGAATTGTTTAATTATACTTCCTGTAATTACAGCTGTATAGTCGAGATTGCAATTATGAATTTAAGTATTAGGAGGACATGTAGACAACTAGGGGTTAATACAGTTGGTCATTCCAAGCTAAAACACAACTTGCTGTGCAGTTTTTCATTGTATGACAATTGAACATACTGTACCGTATGGAAACAGCAACTGTTCATTTTAACCTTTGAATGTTTGAGGGTCTCTGAGTTTGTTTCAATATTATTCTCACAGTCCTTGTAATAACATACACAGTTTTTGTTTGTAGAGGAAGGAACAGTCAGCAGAGTTTGAAAACTAAAATCCAAGTCCTCCACTTCAATGCGTGGAAAATGTAAAAAAGGTCTTGCATCAAATGTTTGATTTAATGTTCATTAGCAGATCATTTTTTAAGTGACTCCTGCTTTTGTCCTTCTGATGCACTTCCCATTAAGAACTTCTTACAACAAAGAAGAAAGTTTGGGCAGCTAGCATTGTTAGAAAAGAACTAAATTTCTGTAGGCTTGAGGTTTGGAAGGATGTCCGTTTTCCATTGCTTTGCAAAGAGGTTGCATTTCCAAGTCCACACAGTGTACTCAAACAATAATAAAACTTCCATCTTTTCTAAATACTGAATTCTGTCTCTGAATCCTGATTGATTAATGGACAAAATGTGTATTGGGACTGTGGTTAAAGGCAGAATGAAGATGAATCGCTACAGACTAGCCGTATTCTGCTAGACACCATTGGATTGTATTACGTAATTCGCCATCTTTGGGGGGGAAAGAACTGTTGTGAAAATACTCATGGACTCTTAGTTATTTTTAATGCTCTGCATGACCTCCAACTTACCCCATTTCCACATGCAGCCATTTTAAGCATTTTAATGTGTGCTGCAAAATACCCAATAAAGGTAAAGGTACCCCTGCCCGTACGGGCCAGTCGTGTCCGACTCTGGGGTTGAGCGCCCATCTCGCTTAAGAGGCCGGGGGCCAGCGCTGTCCGGAGACACTTCCGGGTCACGTGGCCAGCGTGACGAAGCTGCTCTGGCGAGCCAGCACCAGCACAGCACACAGAAACGCCGTTTACCTTCCCGCTATAAAGCGGTACCTATTTATCTACTTGCACTTAGGGGTGCTTTCGAACTGCTAGGTGGGCAGGAGCTGGGACCGAACAACGGGAGCTCACCCCGCCGCGGGGATTCGAACCGCCGACCATACGATCGGCAAGCCCTAGGCACTGAGGTTTTACCCACAGTGCCAGCTAATCATGTATGGAGGTCTTTAGCTGAAGGACTTAAATAAAAACAACAGAAGCTCATATGCGTTTAGGATGTTAGTTAAAATGTGAAGGAAATAAAATAAAAGCACATACCTTTTAAATCATTTTTAAAGTTGAAATACAAAGAGCACCTCATCTGCTGCACCGTGTCGAAACAGGTGAAGCTCATGTTGCATGGATTTATGAAATATCTGAAAACGAAAGTATGAACTGCTTGTGTTCCCCCTGAAATCACAATAACCCTTTCTTCCTTGTGGGTTCTACTTTGCTAATTTAGGATGCAATATAAACTACACCATGCAACTGCATCTATAGGACTCCAATGTGAGGATTGAGAATGGAAGCCAGAGAGTTAAGGTCATGACTGAGCATACAGATGGATAAGATGGCAAGCAGTTGAAGGTGGAAATAAGAGCGTCCCATCACAACTGTAATGAACATTTTCCATGACATGGCCTGCTTCACCGAGTTGGCATCCAAACACCATCTGGGCAGATCTGTTGGCTTCTCAGATACAACAGCTGGTGTGTTGAAAGTAATAAAGGAACCAGACCCACCTGCTTTCATGATGCCCGATTGCTTTTGCTACAGGAAATCACTCTATTTTTAATGCAACAGTGACTGTGCAACCTAAGGGAGAGAATTCAAGATCTGTGATCCACAAGTTTGCATATGGCGCTCAATCAGGTGCTACAGCTTAACCAGAAAACCAAGTATGTAAAAAAGCACCAGGTCTTACCAGCCTCATTAAAAGAGGGCAGAGCTTGGAGGAAAATCAGCTATAACCGCAATTATAAGTTCACAGTGGAAAAAAATATTCACAAAGGCCTCTCAAAAGTTGAGCACACATCAAAGCGCTGATGCAGAATTAGTTTATTGGCACTCAGTAACCTTGGATTGCATTAGGGTGATCAACTCCTTGACTTGTGGGGCAAACATTTTAAAATTAACATTAATTAAATTAAGATCCGCTTCAGTTTATCCCAAGAATTAGTAACTAAAGTGTACACACACTCACATATTCCAAAGCCCATGTCAAATGTATTAAACACTTTAATTGTAAAGGTTAAGATTTAAGGCACAGGAGTTCCAAGACAAATATAGGTGTTAATCTATTCTTCCTAAACAGTATAGAAGATCCTAGTCTTGAAAATAATCTCTGATTATTTGGCAGCCCGGTCAGGCAGTGGCCGGTAGAACAGACCCTAAAGCTCTACCCAGGCTCAAATTGTTCCAAGTGCTCAAAATTAGTGAGGCTATTAAAGAGCAGCAAGCTGTGCTAACCTTAAATTTGTGCTCTTGAGTCACTGTGACTATTTATTTCACAGCAATGCCAGTGGCGTAGTAAACTCTGAAGTGCACAGCCTCCGCAGCCAACCTCTTCCAAGACGAGAGAACAAAAACGAGTATTTGACCAATGCAGACATTATGGCTTCAATACCAAGCCAGTATTTTCTACATCCCCTGATACCTTGTTTACTATCCAGCCTGATGGAAGAGTTACAGTGAACTCTTGGCTCCCTATTTTGTGACATTTTTGTTGGCCACAACAACGGAGCTATGGGGTTTTTCAAAACAGAGTGGCAGTTTTACCCTTCACTTTGCATGCTGACGTTATCTGCCTCTCTCTTCGGCTTGCCTTATTTGACGGGTTTTTCCTCACAGAAAAGCTTATTTATCTGCCATGTGGAGGATTAGCAAATAGCAGCATCCGGGGAGATGATCTCAACATCACCATCCCTGTTGTGAAGTTAAGCGGTAATGTTTTGTCCCTGCTCCACAACATCATTTGCTGGTGGCTGAGCTGTGGGAACAGGTAGAAAGTAGAGCTGGGTTTCTAAAACGAATGGTGAGAGCAGATCAGCCCCTCCAACCTGCACGCAATAGAATAGGACAATAGAATGTTGTTGTTGTTTAGTCATTTAGTCGTGTCCGACTCTTTGTGACCCCATGGACCAGAGCACGCCAGGCACTCCTGTCTTCCACTGCCTCCCGCAGTTTGGTCAAACTCATGCTGGTAGCTTCAAGAACACTGTCCAACCATCTCATCCTCTGTCGTCCCCTTCTCCTTGTGCCCTCCATCTTTCCCAACATCAGGGTCTTTTCCAGGATAACTTCCTAGAAAATAGGATAACTTCCACCAATGTAAGGAAAGGCAGGTGATTACGTCTCGGTCACCACAAATTAAAAACATCACGAGAGTCTGCTCAGTATGTAGACTCGCTGGAGGGCTGGACGTTGTGTTTCCCTGATTGACTATCAGAACAAGAAGCCACAAGATGAGACGTGCAGGTGTATTGTCACTTATTTCTGGCACTTTCTTGTGTCCTTTAAAGGGTATTTGTTGTGATTTTAATTGCTAAAGATTCCTCTCAAATGACTCGAGAAGAAAACAGTCTCTCCCGCCGCTTTCTCCCAGCAAAAAAAAAAAAAAAAAAAAAAGGGGGGGGGGGAGAAGCACACAAGGAGCCACAAATCACTCCAGCTAATACTGTAAGTTTTTGTCCGGAACGAAAACAAATCCTTTGTTGTGTGCAATTGCCACACACACAATGCACAAGGCCAAAAAGAAAGAAAAAAAGAGAGCCTCTTCCTTCATCTTCTCGCAAATCGCCAGCTGAGGTAGATACGCACCTCAAAAACGATAGCCGCGAAAACCTTTCCCTTGGCAGGCTTCTGGGAAGTTTGGCAGAACTGGCTAGAAATGGTGTACGTAGGCATCCGCATGAGTTGTTGTGCCTTTCTCTATATGTTTAAGGTGGCAGGAATGGCAGAGCAGGTGGTCATCTAGGGGGTAACACCGATGTCCATCTTCGTCGTTGAGTTCCATGCCGCAGTCCTACGTGAGAAACGAAAGGGACAATACTGCTATTCAGGACATGCACCAGCCATAAAACGGGGCCTTTCCAAGGTTTATGTACAATCTTCTGATCGGCAGCCCCAGCCCAGAGTGTCAGTAGAGATTAATAGTCAATTCCTAGCTGCCGGTTAAGGAAAACTTGATTCTGTCCCCGTGAAACAAAACAGAATGAGGATTTAAAACAGTTCGCTCCAAGTGAGATTCCGTGCAACTACCCTATGCTGAAGCAGGTGTGTATGTGCTTTTAATTCTAAACTCAGCAAGGATGCCTAGGCTGGAGAATCTCTCAGGAGGTTATGAACGTGCAAGTTTTGGACTTTACACGTGGACAAAACTACAGAAGGTTGCATCCCAAGTTAGTCCTGTTCAGATTAGGCCCACTGAAATTCATGGACCAACTTAAGTCTGAGTAAAATTGAGTGATGTACTAGGGGATAAATCTTTAATCTTGGTGTTATTTTAACAATTGGCATGGCTTGGGGTTAGACAGAATTTCTGTGGCCTATTGAAAGTCATGTCAAACTGACTACTGAAGACAATCTCTTGTTTTTATGACACAGGCAGTGTTATGCCTTGACTTGAGCTAGTCAAGCTAAAACTAACAGCCTCTTGGGGGGTAATCAAGGTCCTGACATCCATATTAACCCCATACGAAGCAAAATAAATTCATTGTGAAGATACGTAAGAATTGCCTGTCGTGCATCCTATTCGTGTGAGAAGGATCACCTCCTTATTTACTGGTGTTCCCATCTGGAAATGAATGACACACTACTGCTTTCGAGTTATTTCAGATCAAGGGTGTCCAATGTGGTCGCTCTCCAGATGATGCTGGACTACAACTCCATCAAACCGATGGTCAGTGCAGGATATCCTCTAGCAGTTAAGAAACAACTGTCTTAAAACTACATATACTTGCTACTTGCATTTACTTTATATTGTGTCTGTAATGAACAGCAGGCCTACCTCACAGCAGTAACATTCCACATGGTAATCCTTGTGCATTGACACAACACGTATAGTCTCATCGGATCCCTGGGAACATTAAAGCACAAAACAAAGACAAAAGGTTTTTTTTAAAAAAATAAAATAAAAAAGGAGAGATGGGCTGAAATGAACTAATCTGGAATTTGCTCTGGGCCACGTGAAACTTTCTTAGGGCAAAGTGAAGGATAAAGCGAATGCCTAAACTCAAGGTGTGTGCAAACCTCTGGGAGCCTCCCCAAGTGAGACAAACCAAATGTCTACACGCTAAAAAGAAAAATCCCTGATCCCACTGATTTAAGCAAAGACAAAATTTCACAGGAGATACCCCATAGCATTTAAACATTCTCAAGTGTTATTGCTTGGAACAGCGATCCCAAGCATAGCTCACATATTTTTGGTCAGCAAACAGCAAAAAGGGGGAGGAGAGTCGTGCATTCGAACTTCTGCGCAAAGGAACACCCATGTAAAATAGTTTTTTTCCTGTGTCATAAGACTCTGAACATACATTTGATTCCTGTGCATAACTTATTCTGGTTTGGAGGAAGATTTTTCTTTCCAAATTGGAGGTGGAAGGGCACGAGGATTTTGGATGCAATCCAAGATGTGTTAGGTGCACCTAAGTCTCACTAAAATCAGCACAGCTTTCTGGATGATCCTGAGCATGTTTACTCAGAAGCAAGTCCCACTGAGTTAAAATGTGCCTTACTCTCTAGCAAGTGTCCTTAGAATTGCGGTTACAGGATTGTAACTCAGCTCTGCAGTTCCATTTATTTAAGTGGGGGTTAGGTGCCGCAAACTTTTGTTGGATTGTATCCTTAGGATCCAAACCAGTAGAAGTTAAGATTTGGCTAAATTCCATCAAAACCAATGGAAACCATTAACTATGGCAAAGTCCCCTTCCCAGAGGAATGGCACCTTAAAGACTTGCCTACAGAGATCCATCTATAAAACCTCATGCCTCAAGGAATCTGTTAGTTTTTCAAGTGCCACAGCAGCCTTTGTCAAATCTATCTATGACTCCAGTTAGGAGCTCTTCACATCTTTCACAAGACTGGGGGCCTTGCTAATATTCCACTCACAGAGATTTGTTTATTTAAAAGCATTTCTAAAGCACTTAGGGTTCTTGTTGGTTTTTTGGTGGCACACTGTTTCTGCAATATAAAAACCCAACACCTCCCCTCTTAAAAAAAGCAAACTAAAACTAAAGAAAACAGTAAAAAAGCAAATAAAACAGATTTAGGGAGTTCATATCCATAAAAATGGGTCTGATCCTATGGGTCAAGGAAAGCCCAGAAAAAAGGTGTCTGAAGCAACAGATGGTTGCTGTGTCACATATGGCAGAGGGGAGGGCATTCCACAGAGCAGGGAGAAGGGCAAAAAATGCCAGTTTCCAGGTCACCACCCTAGGATATTCTGCAGGGGGCAGTGCCATAAGTAGAAGTTCTTCAGATGATCTAAGGGCAGGTGGTCTAGCCATGCTTCCGCATAGAGCTTAGAATAGGTAAAAGGTAAAGGTACCCCTGCCCATACGGGCCAGTCTTGCCAGACTCTAGGGTTGTGCACCCATCTCACTCAAGAGGCCGGGGGCCAGCGCTGTCCGGAGACACTTCCGGGTCACATGGCCAGCGTGACAAGCTGCATCTGGTGAGCCAACGCAGCACACGGAACGCCGTTTACCTTCCCGCTGGTAAGCGGTCCCTATTTATCTACTTGGACCCGAGGGTGCTTTCGAACTGCTAGGTTGGCAGGCGCTGGGACCGAACGATGGGAGCGCACCCCGCCGCGGGGATTCGAACCGCCGACCTTTCGATCGGCAAGTCCTAGGCACTGAGGTTTTACCCACAGCCCCACCCGCGTCCCAGGCAGAGCTTAGAATAAGACTATTGCAAATCACTGGGGGGCTGTAGCATTACTGAGAAAAGGTAGAAGCAAAAAATATAAATCACTTACCTCACTTGGCAGAATAGGAAGACCACAGGCTGCACATTTTGGCGCCAAAACCCTTCATAAAAAACAAAAAAAGGCAAGTTACAAACATGAAAGAGAACCCAGATTTGAATCGTTTAAAAATATTGTTTCAATGGGCATTGAACACTTTGCACATTCTCCAAAGCACACTGGGGTCCCCACCTCGCATTTCCCCAGTTCTAGTGAAAATGGGAGCGTGGGAAAAGGCTGGTGCAGAGGAACTCCCAGAGCAGAAGGGGGCAAAAGGGAGGTTGGAATTTACTGGGAATTTCTTGAGCGATTTGCTGCAGTAGATTGGCAAGGGTTTCCTGACTCTAAATTGTTCTGAGAACAGCAAGCTACCGTATTTTTCGCCCCATAGGGCGCACCGGCCCATAGGGCGCACCTAGTTTTTTTGGGGGGGAAATAAAGAAAAAAAATTATTTCCCCCGCAGGCGTGGGGCTGGGGGGCAGGGGGAGCCCGAGCTTCCCCCGACCCCAGCCCCCAGAACAGGCTGCTGTCCGCAAGCCTAGGGAGCCCGGCGGGAACTCCTGCCAGGCTCCCCAGGCTTGCAGATATCTGCCCGAAGCCCGGGGCGTGCTGCTCAGCTGCGGGATTCCTATAGGGTGAAAAATACGGTACTTGTTGCACCTAAATTAGGCTGCGCAAATGAAGAAATTAGGCTGCGCAAATGAAGAAAACTAGCCAGGTGTGGCGTTTTGTGTGAAATGACTATGAGCAGATTTGGTTTTCAAAACCAATTCCTGGACCCTGTTCTTTAATTCTAACTGCGTGTCATTTGCACCTGACTAGTTGCTGGATCTTGGGATTATAGCATTTCTGAGAAGCCTGAAATCTGCTCATCTCTGTCCTAAGGGCAGAAGATGATGAGAATATAGGTTGCTAGAATTTTTATATTACTTGTTGCACCTTCATGATCAGCAAGCAATACAGCCTTCCTGTGAATACACATATTTACTTGCAAGCAAATCACACTGATTTCAGCAGCTCTTGCTTACAGCCAAGTCTGTTTAGATTCCCCGCCCCCCGCTTACTTGTGGTAATCTCGGACACAGTAGATTTTGTTCTCGCTGTCTACCGTGAACGGCACTCCATCCAGACATTCATTGCAGATCACACAACGAAAGCAGCCAGGATGGTACGACTTCCCCAGCGCTTGCAAAATCTGCAATAAGAAACAGGAAAATGCTTCTGAACGAGCATTCAGGTGTTTTTTTAAAAATGCAATAAAGAAGCAATTTCAAAGGAGTGTAAGGAATATATAACGATTACAACAACATAAGGATGTTTGTAAATTGTTCCCTTAATGGTGTTTTGCTTCACAGCAACCATGCCACCACATCAGGAATCCTGTAATTAATTTGAGCAATTTTGGTAGGAAAATTACTGGCAAGAGGCAGAAATGACAGAGCAAATTTCTGTCGTCGTAATTCCGGTGGAATTTGAAGCAAGCGAAACAGCACCCAGTCTGAAAAGACAGGGAGCAGGCAGCAAGAGTGAATTCAATCAAGACACAGGAAAAGAGAATAGAATTTCCAAACAGCTATTGCGAGAAAACTCAGGTAAGATTTAAAATGTCTTTATTTTTATGCCCCGAAGGGCTGTTCTTGATTACAGCAACCAGCTGTTCGTTGGTTCAAGTTAGGCTGGAAGTTGCATGTGGCACCTGGGTTTAGATTGTTTTTTTCTGGCATACAAATATATGCAGAACCATTTAGTTAAGCGATTGACTAAAACCCGCCTGATTCCTTGACTAGGGTTTCGTTAATCAGACGACAACCCTCGTTTGAATTCCAAAAGCCCTCCCCATTGTTAGAGAGGCTACAGAGGAAGCATTAAGAGTCATGTGCAATCACAAGAGATTACAGAAAAAAAATGAAATCAGCACTCTCCCATATATCTTGCTTTACAGGATGTGAGCATCTGCATACCTTAAAAAATGCGCACACAAAAATTATAAACAAGACAAAATGCACACAATTGGATTTAGTTTCCTTTCCTCATTTTCCTTATTCCTCATACAATAAGAAGTGGATGGCATACAGCAGCAACATTTCATTCTTATATTTTCCATTTGGGACGTCATTCTAAAATTACGGGGACTTTCCCTCCATAGCATGTTTTCCACACACAAAGGTCACTTACCATGTCCATGATCAAATGGCCACATATGAAACACCTGTCAGCTGACTGCTGGAAGCCCGAATACTGCAGTGGGAAAAGAAAGCATGCTTAAACCTTTTGAGTAAAAGCATGAGCAACATTTTCCTACTTTCTTAACTGGAATAAGGCTAGCTGACCAGGGTGCAAAGCCACAATAATGTCTCTGGGCACATGATTCCCCCAAATAGCTTTTATTACTTTCTTTAAAAGCTTCCTTCCTTCAATTAAAAAAAAATACATATTCCCAAGTGCTAGCACAATGAAGAGACAATGAAGAGGCAAAGTCCCCAGTTCTAACCTCATTTTAGCAACAAAGACATTAAGCAAACTGCTGGCCCTCAACCTCAGACACTCATTTGCCTCAGTAGGTTGGATTAAGTATTGCTGAAATAACGTATGTGAACTAGAGCTGGCTTGAAAACCACTTGTCAGTTTAATAACACGGTGTATAAACAACCCTTGTGGACAAGCACATACGTATGAGGCTCCTTTATATCTCAGACATAATCTCATAATTATATATTATGTAGCCAATATATGACTGTCCAATTACTGCCACTCAGTAATTGCCCAATCATTAGTAGTAAGAGCAACATGAATAAACTACGCTATGTCAAGTATAACTGGTTTAATTCACACTGAAATGGGAATTGGTGAAAGGGTCTGACTGTAAGTTTCCATTGAGGCCAAGAGCAAGAAGTGGTCTCTGAGCTCCTTAATGGGTTGTTGTTGTTCTCAGGTAGCTCTGACCCGATGTTTTAACCTTAGAACACATGAGAGTGATCAAATGTCAAGTTTGTTATCTCAAAAGGGTGGTTGCTGAAGTCTTTCTTCTCAGACTCAGTGAGAGTGAGGATGCAAATGGAGCTCTCCAGGAAAACAGCTCCAGGCAAAATGGATGCTAAAGGAGAGACAGACCCCTGTTTGGAATAGTTCATAATTTGTAAGATGCTGAGCCTATGCCTTGGACTGGCATATGTCTTACGGAACTGTTTGGATGTAACATTACATGCTTTGGTTTTGATTTGGAGAAAGTTCAGCAAGTGAAGTTTTAATTAAACATATGAACTCCCGTTGCTCTGTCCCAGCTCCAGCCAACTTAGCAGTTCGAAAGCATGTCAAAGTGCAAGTAGATAAATAGGTACCGCTCTGGCGGGAAGGTAAACGGTGTTTCCGTGCGCTGCTCTGGTTCGCCAGAAGTGGCTTAGTCATGCTGGCCGCATGACCCGGAAGCTGTACGCCGGCTCCCTCGGCCAATAAAGCGAGATGAGCACCACAACTCCAGAGTCGGCCACGACTGGACCTAACGGCCAGGGGTCCCTTTACCTTTACGGGCCTTGACAATATTTCATTTCCAAAAAGAAGTTGGTTTTCATGCATCCAGTCGCTTTAAACTGTGCAATATTAATATCTGCAATACACCTAGATGTAGGTAAAGGTAAAGGTACCCCTGCCCGTACGGGCCAGTCTTGCCAGACTCTGGGGTTGTGCGCCCATCTCACTCTAGAGGCCGGGGGCCAGCGCTGTCCGGAGACACTTCCGGGTCACGTGGCCAGCGTGACAAAGCTGCATCTGGCGAGCCAGAGCCGCACACGGAAACGCCGTTTACCTTCCCGCTTGTAAGCGGTCCCTATTTATCTACTTGCACCCAGGGGTGCTTTCGAACTGCTAGGTTGGCAGGCGCTGGGACCGCACGACAGGAGCTCACCCTGCCGCGGGGATTCGAACCGCCGACCTTTCGATCGGCAAGCCCTAGGCGCTGAGGCTTTTACCCACAGCGCCACCCGCTTCCCCTCAACACCTAGATGTACAAATCATTTATTTATTTATTTTCCAGCTAAGATAGGTACACATGAGGACCGTGTGAACAAAAATCTAGAATCTATACTTGAATCTTGCACCTGCATTTTAGTCCGTAAGGACAAGTAAGGGAAAAGTACAAATCACAATGCTGCAATTCTTTTTTTTTTTTTGGGGGGGGGGGAGTCATCAGCACTGATTGCCTCATTTAAGATCCGCTTTGCTTTCACAAAGTTGCTTAATCAGACACAACAGATAAGAAGAATTAATTCATGCCTTACTCTTCAGATGTCAAGGAAATAAACAACTATCTGACAATTAGAAGACATCTGAAGGCAGCCCTGTTTAGGGAAGTTTTTAATGTTTGATGTTTCATTGTGTTTTTCATATTCTGTTGAGGGCCGCCCAGAGTGGCTGGGGAAACCCAGCCAGATGGGCACAGTATCAATAATAAATTATTATTAAATATTAAAAATCCATCACTCTAGCAACATGTAGGACACATAACCTGACCCACTGCCAGTGGGTTCTCCACACTGCAATCCTCAACCTCATTTAGCATTCCCTCCACGAGCAACAACATGCAAGAGCCTGCAGCTTACTCACCAGGAAGTCTTCTTCACAAAACACTTTCCCATTAACAAAATAAAAGGCTTTTCCTCTCAGCTTCCGACCTGCAAGGGGGAAAAAAGGGGGGGGGGAGATGATCAAAGACGATCAAAGATGATCAAATAAAACATCTGGATGCCACCAATGGAAGCCAGAAATAAAGATGCAGTTTCGATGCAACTAAATGCTAGGACAGATGCTGCGATCCTGCCCTGTGCTTTTTTGTGCACCCACAGTTCCTTATTGCAGAACTGTAGCATGAAGAAGCAAAGGCTATATACCATTCAGGGCTTTTTAATTTATAGCGTAACTCCAAGCTAGGATCTGTGCCGTCATTATACTGCACAGGTGCACACAGGAAGTATATGCTCTGATAGCTCAGTTGCTAAGACCGTGGTACTGATAACGCCAAGGTTGCAGGTTCGATCCCCGTATGGGGCAGCTGCATATTCCTGCATTGCAGGGGGCTGGACTAGATGGTCCTCAGCGTCCCTTCCAACTCTACAATTCTATGATCCTACTTTAAAGGTAAAGGGACCCCTGACCATTAGGTCCAGTCGTGGCCAACTCTGGAGTTGCAGCGCTCATCTTGCTTTATTGGCCGAGGGAGCCGGCGTATAGCTTCCGGGTCATGTGGCCAGCCTGACTAAGCCGTTTCTGGCGAACCAGAGCAGGGCACAGAAACGCCGTTTACCTTCCTGCTGGAACGGTACCTATTTATCTACTTGTACTTTGACGTGTTTTCAAACTGCTAGGTGGGCAGGAGCAGGGACCGAGCCACAGGAGCTCACCCCGTCACGGGGATTCGAACCGCCGACCTTCTGATCGGCAAGTCCTAGGCTCTGTGGTTTAACCCACAGCACCACCTATGGCGGGTCCCTATGATCCTACTTTAGAGCACCATTTAACCTGGTGCTGGCTTTCGACTCTAACCTGTAACGTGAGCCCCACGCTTCTGTCCATCTTATTCTTCCTTTCCACCCTCAACTTTCTCCTCATCTTAGAAAATGTGAAACGCTCGTTAAAAAAATAAAATAAAATGGGAGCAGCACTACTACTGCAATCCATTTTAGGCAAGGGCCGTAACCAATTATGTCGGTCACAATGGGCCAATTAAAGAGAACGCATTAAAGGATACAGAGGTGGTGATAGCAGGAGATGAACATTTCCCTATACCTGGCTCATCGCATTAACACCAGATGGCGCCTCTCGTCAAGGCAGGAAAAAATAGATGTTCAGTCCTTGTGGGATAAAACGATTCTGTAAACGTCCACCTTACCAATTTTAAATATTCCTAGCGCAAGACCCAAATTGTTTAGGTTGTATCTGGTGTTAGTACTCCACTGATAGTAAGCCTTCTGAATAAGGAAGGAGTTTAGAAGCGTTGGATTTGAATATATACAAGCAGAGGATGCAACAGGTAGAACCCTCCAAAGATCCTTTGTCCCAGGGACAAAGGCTGGTTTGCACTGGGCACAACTGTCCCTCTGCCCATCGCTGCTGGTCACTGCCAGCCTCGTCCCACAGAAGGAAGCTAGAATGACTGTCTTAGTGCAGAGCTCCAGGGCACAATGCTTTGGACCCAAGCTGGACCCACTGCTGTCACGTGACCTGCAATCTGTTGGTCCCTCGATACCTTCTTCCCCATTGGACACACTCAGCGGGGTAGCCCTGCTGGTCAGGGGCCAGGGTTAGGATTGCTGCCCAAGGTAGGTACCAAACCAGGTAGGTAACATCCTGTTTGGGGAATGTGCTCCCCAGGGAACTTGCCTCGACACCTAACTATCATTTCAGTACTGGGCATTTAAAATTTTTTAAAAAAATATCTTCCTAAGCTTTTATACACTGCCAACTTTTTGAGCTGCACGGTTTGAAGCTGCTGTGTGTGTTTTTATTGCTTCAATTCTTTATCACAAGTTGTGCTATTTTGTGGTTTTGTTCTGCAACCTTTGTAATTTTTTTAAAAAATCCTTTCGTAAGAAACCCTAGGAATGCTGACTGACCAATGGAGGAAAGGATGCATGCTTGTTTGTTTATATAAATATTTATATACCCCGTCCCCTTGCAAAACACCGGAGCAGTGTACAACAACATGAAAACATTTAAAAGCAAGCCAAACCGATCATTAAAATGACTGGCTACTCCTACTCAAGAGACATTTTAAACATCTGCATATGCCTGTCAGCATATATATGAGATATATATATATATATATATAATCTCAAGAGAATCTTGAAAGTCAAAAGCCAGGGTGCCTGCCGAATCTCTGCTGGAGGATTGTTCCACAGCAATAAATTCCCCACTTCTGGTTGAGGCCAATTTGGCCTCTGAAACATGGGGGACAACTAACAGTGCTCTTCCAGAATATCTCTGTTATTGGGATATTAGAAATAAATAAATCACTGAGCAGTCACAAGCAAACTGGACCTGCACATAGCCATTTTATCACATATTATTTGGTTTTATAATTGATTCCTGGGCTCACCTTTCACGAAACTATAGCTCAGATTATTCCCTGACAATGTGTATGGATCATATTCTGCTAAGGCCCATGTGTTCTGGGCACTGAATTCCACATTTACAGAGAACTTCTCCATCCCTCTCTGCAGGGATGCAGTTTTACTGGAACATTACAAGATGTCCCTGAAAACTCTGGGTCTAAATCTCAAGGACTAGCCTGCGAGTCACAAAAGAAAATGTGCCTCAGGAGCCCAAGCCACAGTTGGGTCTCAATTCAATGGTTTAAAAAGCTCAAGCGGTTATCAAAACAAGCAGCTGCCTGAAGGCTTTTTGGCTTTTTACAGCCAATACTTTTCACAAGGGCAGGAAAAGCAAGTGAAGGGAGGACTTTGCAACCACATGAAATACTCCCACTTCAGATAATTTTTCTGGGCAATGAAAGCTCTCACTGGAAAAAAAAGGACATATCTTGGATAGCTACCACTTATGTGACAGGCACAAGTCACTTAACAGAAATTCTGCATTGTGCCTGTCTTTAAACTTGGCAGCAATGATGTGGCTATGACAGAACGATGCAATTTGCACTGTTTGTTATGTTCTGTTACCGCTTAACAGAATATCAGATCTCGGATGAAAGGTGCCTGCAGCTTTATAAGGGGCTAATCCCAAGAGTCTTTTGCTTCACTGTGCTGTCTTGCATAAAAATGTCTGAATGTAAAAATTAAAAAATTGAAGTGCAGACGACTGGAGCCAACGCAGCTGCCAGATTAACAGTTAAAAATAAAATAAAAAAGTCAGTGCAAGCCTTCTCAAAATATGCACCACTAAGTTAAACAGAGCTTACTCCCAAGTAAGTGGTTATAGGATTTCAGCCTAAAGCAATGTGATGTGTGGAGCTGCAGGATTATAAATAAGGCTCTTTCAATTCAAATCTTTATTACGGTCATAGACCAGCATTTAAAATCTAAAAAGGTATTAAAACACAAGGTGAATATAAAAGTCTATAAGAATTTAAAAGAAGCTAAAAGAATCCAAAATAAGGGTCAGGAACATTGGACGGGTATGGAAGAGCACAAAAGGTTGTTATTATTTTTTTTTTTAATTGTGGCAAAAGCCAGTGACACTAGACACCACAAGATCAAACAAAAAGAGATCAACAACAACATCAGAAAAGAAAAGAAAAAAAGAAAAAAAAAAAAAAAGGATTACACAGGGGAACTTCACAGAGTGCCGTTCAACAGAGGAGATTTACGCTTCCTGATTACTAAAGTGCAAAATTTGGCCACCTCATATGATATTGAGCTTGAGGAATCTTCCAGAAGGTATTTTCGTAGAATTTGGGGGGAGGATTCCAAATAATGTTGTAGGGGTATAAATTTTGATAAAAGCGGCAAAATAAGTTGAGCTCGTTCTTCACTATAAAATTCGCAGAATAGAAGGATGTGTGTGACAGATTCTACCTTATTAGACATACAGGGGCAGAGACGCGCATGCATTGGTACCCGCGTGAATTTGCTGTGCAGCACTGCTGAGGGCATTGTCTCAAAGCGGGCTCTAGAGAAAGCCCATCTATAAGCTTCGTTAGTGATGTTAGTTAAGTAAGGGGCAGCTGCAAAATTAGGCCAAGCTTTTAAACATCTATACGACTCCGGGAGTAGGGCGTCTTCTTGTTGTAATTCGACATCGTAAAGTCTCTGAGTGATAATTGCTTTTGATAAGGCTCTTTTTATTCTTATGAAGCTGTGATATTCTGAAATAGAAGACATTCTTACTTGAGACATAATATGGTTCTCAAGAGACAGAGGTTGTGCTTTATTGCATCAGACCACCTGCATACCTCTTTGAAGACATGCACTGAGGGTAAATTCTGCTTACTATGATGTCCTCTCATAGAAATGTCAGACAGCTTAATTTATGGGCTTCTCCAGAGACAGCTAATTACTACTACAGAGAGGCTGGGTCCTGAACTCTTGGTTCCTAGCAATACTTCAAGTCCACTGTCTGCTATACTCATCCATTTCACTGCCAGCCAGAGTTCATGCATGAAATAACCACGTTGGTATTTCTACTGTCCTTTTTTACTGACTGTAATTACAGGACATGTTTTCCCTTTGCAGTTTGTAATTAAAGATTTGATGCCTGTCGCTTGTGCGTGGCTGATCCATTTAAGCAACAGTTCTCATTCCCTCATACGTAAGACTTAAGAGTAGCATGTTTTTATCTTCTAGATGCCCCTCTTTATTATCCGGCGGACAGCAGGGCCCATATAATCAAAATGAATTTTGGACTTTGGACCTCTGTAATATAAAATTCAGATTACCAGGAAGAACCTAAATCCACTGAACACTGTGGGACTCCGTTTCATTTACGTCAAAGGAGATGTTTTATTCGGTCTGAACATGCTCCTGAACCCACATCAGGCAAATAGCAAATCAGTTGCCAGCCTCCCTGTGGTCAGCATCAATCCCTTGCACTTTTGACTGTTTCCTATTTTTGTACTGGTTCTGTCCATGCTTATTACCATAGTTCAAAAGAAACCAAGGAAACAAGCCCAAGCCAACAAGGCAGACAAGAGAACACGTCTCTTATCAGCATTTGAGTTAGATCTCCGAAGATTTTAACATAGCTAGCTAGGTACTCAATACATTTTCCAAAACAAAAAACAAAAAACAACAACGTACAGCGGGGATTTGGGAAAAGTTTGAAGTTCATGGAAACTGTGAAAATAGTATTTTAAATATTAATTCTGAGGGCAATCATCCCAACTGTATTCCAGGTGAAGGTCCCTGGAATGATAGAGTTTTATGGTGAATCTAGCTTTAGCTTTGAGTCGACATTGGGGGGGGGAGGGAGTGAAGGGGCTTTTCATTAATTAAAAGCATTTACATCCACTTTTCCACCTCAGAAGTATATGGGGGGGGGGGGTTGTTCAGTGAAACAAAACCAGGTCCGTTGCTTATCTCACATTCTCCAGCGTTTTGCTGGAAACTCACCTGAACCTATGTATAAGCATTACATCAGAAGTCATGTATAATGCTACAAAAGCATAATGCTCTAATGTAAACAAAGATACAACCATGTTAAACTGTTTAAAGATGAAAAGCGGGTGGCGCTGTGGGTTAAACCACAGAGCCTAGGACTTGCAGATCAGAAGGTTGGCAGTTCGAATCCCCGCGATGGGGTGACCTCCCATTTCTTGGTCCCTGCTCCTGCCAACCTAGCAGTTCAAAAGCACATCCAAGTGCAAGTAGATAAATAGGTACCACTCCAGCGGGAAGGTAAACAGCATTTCCGTGCATTGCTCTGGTTCGCCAGAAGAGGCTTAGTCATGCTGGCCACATTACCCGGAAGCTGTACCCCGGCTCCCTCGGCCAATAAAACAAGATGAGCGCTGCAACCCCAGAGTCAGCCACGACTGGATCTAATGATCAGGGGTCCCTTTACCTTTATGTTACAAAAAACTCCAACCATCCTCCAATGAAGGTACACCATAGAAGCAGCAGCCTATCCCTTTCTTCAACAATCATTCTCACCTCTGTTATTAAGGACAGGACACCAAAAGAACAAAATTCTACCATTTCTATTTGCTGGCATAACTCACCCCCTTTCCAAGATGTGAAAAACTTCAGGCTCCAATTGTGGATTTTATGATATACCTAACATCTGGAACATCAGTCCCCATTGCATGTCAAACATCTTCTTTTTCGTTTCTAAGCCTTTTACCTCTCCTAATTTCTTTCAGTCATTTAAAGTACTTCCTCTGCACTTTTTTTATTTGGCTCTCATCGTTCCTATCATGACCTCATCAAGACAGCTCAAAATATGAGAAACATATGACACGAAAATGCCAAGTCTATGTGGCTTATACGACATCACTGGGAAGCGTTTGTGTTCCAAACAAATGTGTGAAACTAGACTAGTATCAAAGGGTCTCTGGCAGGTGAAACGATATACTACATGGTTTTCAATGCTTATGTCTGTGATGCAGTAAAGTGTACCTGTCTTATGAATTATGGCCTGCATCCAGAAGAGTGATTTTACTGATCCTTCAGCAAGCCACATGTCCAAGCTGCTGATCTGCAAAAACTGCTTCTGCAGCCACATGCAAAAAGGGATGTGACCTCATTTCTCTTGTGCAAAGGGTTTGCGTCAGAGGAAAGCCGACGAGGCGTTGTGTGTTACAGCCAGTCCCATGAGCAATTCCTGAAGCAAACCCAAGTACTGGAGCCCTCAGCCATAGCTCTTGCCTCCTAAACCAGCCCTCAAGTTATAAAAGCCTGTCCAAGAGAGAATACAAAACGACTTCCTGTATACAGGATGGCGATACAAGTTTATGTGGCAACTGAGTTAGGTGCATTCTGTAGAATGCAATCTTCTGTAGAAAACATAAGAAGTAGGAAGGACAGGTGTCCTTCAGAATAAACCCATGTAAATATGCCTGATAACTCCAATTTGATTGTTGACTCCTTGGGCATTTTAAGGTCGCAGATCTATCATTTGCATTTTTACTGAGGGAAACAGCCTTGAAATGGCTAGCAAAATATGGCAGAGCCCCATCCACATAGAGAGGATTTACTCTGACATTCATTTGATACGGAATAATACTAATTATATATGCAGTGCATTTATCCTCAATGCCAAAATACAAATCCCCATGTAAATACCAAACCTAAGCATACTTTTTTTGCAAGCAAGTGCGACTGAAATAAATGGGGTTTACTTCCAAGGGTACAACCTATTTATAGTGTAGAATTTAGAACATTTGTAGCTCTGGGCAGCTAAGCCCGCTTATTTAAATATTTTTAATCAAGATGAGGACATGGGAGCAGTTTAGGTTTAAAAGGGAATCTATGGTATCAGATAACGTCAATCATGCCAACATGCTCCACTGCCATGCATTCTTCCTGATGTTTAGTCAGAATCTCCTTTCTTGTAACTTGGATCCATTGGGCAAGTCGTCTGGCCTGGGACATGGCAGTTTCCCAAAGGAGAAGGTCACTAAAAGCAGACAAGCCCCTTGGAAAGACAGCTTTGTCCACCAGTAGTGGTGTTCATAGGAACATAGGAAGCTGATATGGAGTCAGAACCCTTTTCCCCATCTAGCTTAGTACCATCTACACCAGGTGTGACCTTTGGGCTCTCCAAATGTTGCGGAACTACAATTCCCATTAGCCCCAAAGGACCTGGCCAACAGTTAGGGATTATGGGATTTGTAGTTCAGCAACCTATGGCGGGCCAAAGGTTCTCCACATCTGGTCTATACTGCCTAGCAGCTTTCCAGGGTTTGAGGAAGGGCTCTCTCCTAGCCGTAGCTGGAGACGCCAGGGTGTCAGGGACCAGGCAGAGGAGGAATGGTGGAGACCACCTCCCCAGCCTGACCCTTCTAGAGAAGACGATGACAGTTCAGAATTACAACAGGGGTTTGAGGGAGGTCACAGCTCAGAGGCAGATGAGGGGGAAAGCTGGGAAATAATGGGAGAGGAGGAAGAAGAAGCAGCAGAGGGCAGACAGCTGATGGACACAGCATCTTTAGAAAGTATTCCAGACCCACCTCTCCCAGAAACTGGCGAGCATTGAAAGTAGGAGAGCAAAGAGCTCAAAGGCAGAAGGCACTTCTCAGCACCCGTAGTGATGACACATGAAGGAGAGGGAGATGGTGGAGACTCACTCAGGACAACGCCATTATTCGAAGAGGCTGCATTCCCAAGCCTCTCTCTGTGAATATTGAATAAAAAAGCAGTTGGTACTTTTCCTTGTTTTATCTGTTCCTGGCAACCTGCCACGGGGGTTGGGTCCACTGCTGCCTGACACAGGGGTTGAACCTGAAGTTTCTGGTTTGCAAATCTGATTCTCTACCTCTGAGCTACATCCTTCCCCTCCAAAATGCCAGCCATGAGGTGTGTTCTTTGGCACACATTGGGTTTGCATGAGGTGTCAAGTTCAACACACCCAGCTGACTCCCCACATCTCACACTGGAACCCTTTGCAAGTTTCAGAGGTTCTCCAGTGGACAAGTTGCTATGAAAAGGTTCCCTGAAAGTAGAAGTCTGAAAAGCCTGTGCGCTAAGCCTTCGAAACCGGTGTAAGATGACAAGAGCTTGTGTTTCAACTATTATTGAAGAGATGCTTATATAAGCCTGCAAGGCACAAGTAAATTTAGAGATTTATATAAAACGGAAACAGTGAAGCATTTATTGTAACTATGAGTACAAGAAAGAATGGAATCCCTATTTTGGGAAGTGAGGTACGAGGTCCTGAGTATATATACTAAAGAGCCAGGTGGCCTTTACTGCCACTGAATACACACTAACATCCCTCTAAATATAAACAGGTATGACTAAAATAGTTGTCTCAATGGAAAGAGACAGAGACCATGCGAGTGGAACGCTCTCTATTTCCAGCAGAACCATAAACCTATTATTATAGGACTCCAAACACTTACTAACTCCCTGTAAAACCGTTACTCTTCCATCTATGAAATGGGGGGCAGGGGAAGAGAAAATCTAACCACCAATCTAAAGTCAGAGAAGCTTATTTCCCAATTCCTGATTGGAGTCCCATCTACCAGCTTGAGAAGGAGGAGGTCCACCTGATTTTTCAGCCCACTGGCTGAACATTTTCCTCAGTCCAGCTGCTGAAGATGGGCAACGATGTATTGCCTCTGGCCCCAAAACAGCTTGACTGGGGAGAATTTGACTGAAATAAGCAAAAAGAAGAGACAAAGATGTGGGAAGACTGGATAGATATTCCAGGAGTTCACCATGCAATTAAAAATCCCTTCCTAATTAAAAGGAGGCAGAGATTGTGCCAGGAATGCAAAACTGCTGAGGGCCTAGGTCTCCCCACTCCTGCGTATCTGCAGAAGTGCACATGTGAAAGAAAAAAATGATGAAGAGTTAAGGCAGCATTATAGGAGGCTATGCTAAGTGTTGGAGCTCAGCAGATACCTGACTTTGCTGACCTCTGACATCAGGTTTGTGCTCATTTTTTTCACTGCAAGGCACACGTTTTCTGCAAATCTTGTCTCGCCTGTAAACAGAGAAGCTTTTCCTTGATATAACAGATACTTACTACACGCCCCACAGGTAAAGCATCCGTCGTGGTAGAGATTCCCCATTGCCTGGCAAGCTTGGTTTGCGCCATATACACCTTTGTTGCACTTCACGCAGGTTCCTAAAGAAGACACAAACACAGGTCAGATGAAGACTCCATAACACTTAAGTAGTAATCCAAGCATGGGAGAAATAGAGTACACCCACGAGAGGCGGGTGTATATTATGGTTTGGTTTAGAAACCAAGCTGGTGGAATAACATAGTTCCAAACATAAAAAGCGTGTTCAATGTACTAGTTTATTTATAAAGGCAGATAGCTGGGAACAAGCAAACATACTTTTAGGAGGTAAAATTGTTTCACTTATCTGAAGCACATTCTGTTCATTTCTATGATCTGTTTACCCTAATAGTGCTCACAGATTAATTTTTTTAAATTACTATCTTAGGTAGCTTGATGTGAGCAAGTAGAAAGTTGCACCCTTTTTTTTTCTTGCCAAAAGAACAAAGTGGCTCAACTATAAGGGGATTTTTCTTCCTTCCAAATCACATGTTTATCCTCATTTCAAGGCCACATTAGGAAGCGTTTCATATACCCTGTGGGTATAGGACGGTATATAAATTCAATAAAAATAGATAGACAGGTAGATAGATGACAGACTGACAGATAGTTTCTGAATTCTGGTTTTTGCTTTTACAAATACATATGGTTATATTCTTACCCATTTCCATCTGAAACTGTGTTTTCCCAAACTTGGGTCTCCAGCTGTTTTTGGACTACAAATCCCATCATCCCTAGCTAGCAAGACCAGTGGTCAGGGATGATGGGAACTGTAGTCAGATAAACAGCTGGAAACCCGAGTTTGGGAAACACTGACCTGGAAGTTCCAAAACAAATAGAACCAGAAGGGCGTATTTTGAAAACCCATGCCATTCTAGGGCTTAATTTTAATGTAGCTTGATCACAGACCTCAAAATTCAGAAGTTACAAGTTTCAAAAGGCCCTGTCAAATTGCTCTTCTGGTCAAAGCTAACTGCTCTGACATCAGACTGGTAGGCCCCAAATCTGCCAGACTAGGGCGTCTGTGACATCAAAACACTAAGTCAGCAGGAGTAAGGCGGAGGGAATATAGTCAAAGGCAGAAATGGCTCTTCTACGGAGTTTCCAATTAACAGTACTGGTTGAGATGCGTGTGCCCCTATGGGCAAAACAACATGCAAAACAATGTAAGCAGTTAAAGTGCTTTGTAGAAGTTTGCTTTGTCAGCAGTGTGGAGAGCTGAAGCAGTTGTGGGAACAGCTTTCAAACCTCTCTTTTGCAAATACCGTGGGAATCTGTGGTGTTGCACAATAATAATAAAAAAGAACCCTATGTTAATTTGCTACTCTTGATCAAAGATCCTCTGCAGGTGCCACATGTTGGAAAACGTGTGGTTTTTTAAAAAAGGTTTGCATTCAACACCTTTTTTTTTTAAACACCCTACAAAACTTGCCTCCTCAGTTTACAATGAATATTCTACAGCTAAAAGGTGTGGAGGAAGGAGGGGTTGTGAAAGTATGGTCTTTCAGTTAAGTCTGTGAAAGGTGCTACAACCCTTTCCCCTCTTAATAGCACCAGCAGTATTTTGCCCTGAATAAGAGTACTGTCTTTTGCTTCTAAGGCTATGTACGTATTTATAGCCATCGTCATCATTCATCACCTTCCATGCAAGCAACACAAGGTAATGTTCAGAAAAAAATAGCTAAAAACAGTTCAAAACAACACAAAAACCAGCAGATATGTTGAAGAAACCAAATCAAAATGGCGGAGACCCATTCATCCAACTGGGAAATAGGACTTCAACTGTTTCCACAAAGCACAAATGATGGGTGCCTGTCATATCTCAACAGGAATGCTATTTTACATATATAAAGAATAGTTATGACATTATGATCCTTGTGATAGAATCTCGCCTTCTTAAAAAAAATTTCTTGTCTCTTGTCTCATGGAGCAAACAGCAGCAAACGACCTCGGCCCAGTATACCTGAAGGAGCGTCTCCACCCCCATCGTTCAGCCCGGACAGTGATGTCCAGCCCCAAGGGCCTTCTGGTGGTTCACAAACCCCCACACATTAAGCAAATTAGAAACATCGCCTCCCGACCCCACCCCCACTCACCTTTCCCCCCCTCCACCTCTTCCCCCCTTTTTCTTCCTAATGTAACCCTAATGTCTCAGCAAATGAAACTGACCTATGGAAAATGTAACTTGAAAAAAGAGACATTGCACATACCTTTGTAAACCAAGAAAACTTTAATAAAAATATTTTTTTAAAAAACCTGTGAAGTGTGAATATGAGGAACAGGTTTTTGGAAACATGTGCATCATTACAGGACACACTCATCAGAGAGCAGGGATTGGCTGTGGTTTCCAATGAGTGTGTTGCTATGTAATATATGAAAAACTCAAGATTTTTATCATGCACATGCTGGTTAATCAAAACAATAAAACAAAACAAGAGCTGCTTCCAAGAGGTTTTCTTTTTTTTAAATTGCAAGTACTTTTCCAAATCATACTGCATAATGACTTATCGGAAGGAAGATGTGGGTATCAAAGAAAACCCAGGGACTCCTCTGTTTACTCATCTGTTTCTCACAAGTGACTTGGGAGAACATCCCAAGACTTGAAATCATAATCTGGGGAGTGGCAATAAGATTCCTCTAGAGAGGCAGCTAATTTAAATCGTGATTTACTGGATATTTCTCAATAAATCAGCTACTGGGAAGAGTACCAAGTCCACAGCTCTTCCCTTTCCCAGACTATTTCATGAAATGAAGTTTCAATATGACTCAGTATCCCATGCCAGATTGGTTTCCTGCAGTAATTTCCAGATCGAAGAACAGATGTTTTCTGCTGGTGGCAATGCAGAGAATTAGGGTGGGCCCGATTCTCAGGGCCGTTTACTAAAAGGACACAAGCCCAGCATTCATATGATGTGTTGAGCTGAACGGCAAGAGCCTTTTGCATCTTGTGACTGCAGAAGATGTTGTCACAAGACAGCGCATTCGCTCTATTTTCCTTCCACCCAAAAATGGACATACACCAAATTCCACTCTTCTGCCAAGTGCCTGCACACTGCTTTCACTTTACCACTGCAGCTGTTTCTCTCCTTCTTGTGTGTTACACTGGAAACAGCCTTAATGGAAGCAGTAGTAAGTTCTTTGTTTGATAAGGATTCTGGAGGTAAATACAGTGGTACCTTGGGTTAAGAACTTAATTCGTTCTGGAGGTCCGTTCTTAACCTGAAACTGTTCTTAACCTGAGGTACCGCTTTAGCTAATGGGGCCTCCCGCTGCCGCCGCATGATTTCTGTTCTCATCCTGAAGCAAAGTTCTTAACCCGAGGTACTATTTCTGGGTTAGCGGAGTCTGTAACCTGAAGCGTCTGTAACATGAGGTACCACTGCAAGTCCATTAAAGAAGAAAAGAAATACAGTGGTACCTCAGGTTAAGTACTTAATTCGTTCCAGAGGTCCCTTCTTAACCTGAAACTGTTCTTAACCTGAAGCACCACCTTAGCTAATGGGGCCTCCTGCTGCTGCTGCGCCGCTGGAGCCCGATTTCTGTTCTCATCCTGAAGCAAAGTTCTTAACCCAAGGTACTATTTCTGGGTTAGCGGAGTCTGTAACCTGAAGCGTCTGTACCCTGAAGCATCTGTGACACGAGGTACCACTGCAAGTCCATTAAGGAAGAAAAGAAATATGTCAAATCCCACTGGGCTGTCATCATGGCTCCCTTTGGGCGTTCAGGATTTCCACTGTGCCAGATTTATCATCAATCCGTTCCTAAGAAGTACCAAAATCTGGGGCACTTTGCAGTGGTATATTTAGTTGCATATTGTGGATGAACAAGTACAATTACCTTCTAGTCACGTGTGCAGGTTACATTCCAGAAGCAGCCCGTATATGCAAAAATTGCATATAGCCAAAATTACCTTTCTTTTTACCTGGCAGCTAGGGGAAAGCACCTGTGTTTCCGCTGCCTCCCCTCCTCTCCATATGCGAGCAATCAAGAATCAGAGGAGAAAGGAGGCAGGCAAGGAGAGTCATAGGCAGAAGACTGGGATGCAGCTGCAGCCAAGAGTGTATACCTGAATTATTGCAAGTTAAATGTGCATGTGATGCAACTCGACTGTATTGCTTGTTACGAGGGTTTTCAAATTAAACAGTTAAGTGGCAGACAGAAAGCAGCTGTGTATTCTGTCGTACACTAGAGTCCACCCCCCAATTTCTCCAATAAAGAGTAGGGGGGAAACCAGCCATCTCACCATTATTTATCAGCTAAGTGAAAGAAGGCCGACCAAGATTTGAGGAGGAAGCCGTGCCGTGCAATCTCAGGATTAGTAGCGTGCAGGAAATCTGCTCTTGTGAAATACGCAGATCAATCATGCAACTTGGAATATGGCCTGAAAGAACCACTTCAAGCTGAGAGCAACCTTGATTTTTTATGTATCGTAAGAGTCAAATTATTATACCTTTTACAGTAGGCAATATATCATCCTTCGCAACCAAACGGGAAAGAAAAATAGCATCTCTGTGTAGAACAGGCCTTAATTCTACTAGCGCTCCTAAATTCTACTACAGCATTCTCCTATATACCCTCTTCTTTCCCATTTTTATATGCTTCTTCTCAGAATCTAAGCTTTATGATGAGCAACCTGACTTTCTCTATTCTCTTGCTGGCATTTCCTTGTCCATTGCAGCTTCATGCCATCAGAATACCCTCTCACCCAACACCTGATTTTCCTACAATCAAGCGTGTCCTTTGACATGTGTTTACTTTGACTTTTCTTCAAATTTGACTCTCCTTCCACCTTCTCTTTCCTTTACTTCTCAACGTGCCTTGCCCTTGATTAGATTGTAAGCCTACAGGCAGGACTATTTATTTTTAGATGCTTACAGCATCAAGTATGATTAGGCACTTCATAAAACAACATGAACACCAGCTTCTGAGTAAAGATGCTTGAGGAATTTAATTTATGTGCATTTTGAAGCAACGGCCTGATCCATACCTCCCAGACTAATATGCAGATTGGAATATAATTATTCTTCAGATTTTGTATGCATCAGAAATTTGTGATACAGTT